GTGCTAGGCAACCAGCACTTAGCAATACCACATAGCAACAGGAACAGTTTTTTTAGCAGCCAGATGTGGCAGCAGTTGAACCTACAGGGCAGTCTACATGTGTGCGAACCAGGAGATAATCCACTCCACTCCATTTATGTAGAGTCAGTCTGTCTTTCAGTCTGCATGTGTACAGGCCAGGATATCATCCACGCTACTCTGTTCATAAAGAAGAACTAGGAGGGTGCTTTAAGCATACCACTCAGATATTCATTCCAGGCACGAATTGTGGGATGTGGTCGATGGTCTCTGTGCCCACAGGGCCCCTCACCTCTCTCTCCTCCGGCTCAGCATCGGAGACATTCCGGGATGATCCAGTGCCGCCAAAGTCTCCTGCAACTGCAGGACACAACCAGAATCAACACTGACATGTCTGATGTCATGACATGACAGACATAGTTTGTGTATGTGCATATGTCTGTACCTATGAGGTGCAGACCAGACACAGTGTGTGTTTGTGTTTTTACCCGTGAGGTACTGACCCGGTACAGTGTGTGTGATCAATGGCTTGTTCCGCTGATGGGAGGCACTGGAGACACTTGAGATGCTGGAGACCAGCCGTACCCTCTCCTTTACAGGCTCATCCTGAGAAGATGGCAGGACAGTCTGGTCCAGTGACAGGGGAGACAGAGATGGGGGGAGGGGACGGGTGAGAAGAGCATGGGGAGAGATGGACAGGTACAGATGCTTGTATGGACTGTGAGACATGGAGAGACAGGCAAGCAGCCTCACCCGAATGGGCATTACATCACAAAAGCAGCTGAATGATGAACACAGGCGCACAGGCCTTCATTCCGGGAACAATGAGTTACCCTCACAGATAACGGGCCTTCCCAAGAACATGCAAGTACAGCTCCAGGTGTACATGACAGGACTTTTGACGCACTTGTCTTGGGGCACATGACCATGGAGCACAACGGCACACATTAAGGAGAAACAGAAATGGCACAGAGCACAAATAGGACAAAGGAGGATCGGGTGGAGGGAAAGGCAGCGCCTACCCATCCCAAGGAGGAGGTGGAGGGAGAGGAGGAAGAGGAGGAGAGTGGAGGAAGGCTTTGCTGCGAAGAAGGTTCTTTCTGTAGATAGAGCTCAGCGGACATAGGGCTCATGTGATAGATGTGTTCAAAGTTGGTAGGAGGAGAGATCAATGCATGGTGTCGGGAGGGAGTAGGGGAGTGAGACTCACTTTGCTGGGCAACAGGAGAGGAGAAAAAGAATAGGCAGAGAGACCATGAGTGAAGGACTGGGTGCAAGAAGGAAGCAGTCAAGTCAGAAAGCGGCCTGTAGGGGGTGCCAATGGCCACAATGTAGAGCGGCCTCAGTGGCCTCACTAGAGATCAGCTTGTAGGGGGTGCTCTTGCCAGCAGTCTCACCGCAGAGTGGACCGTAGGGGGCGCCAGCAGCCTCACCACAGAGTGGCCTGTAGGGGGCACCAGCAGCCTCACTGGAGAATGGCCTGTAGAAAGCATGCTTGCCAGGGCCTTACCAGAGGCAGGTCCATCAGAACCTGCATGCCATCTCCAGGGCCCATGTGAACCACATGGTTGAAGTTGATGGGATTGGAAATCATCCTGGACCGCAGCGATGGGTCCTTCAGCATCTCCCTGTGGGACATGTAGCACAGAGTAGGGTGAACATGTGTTAGATGGGGGTGAGATGGGGGTGGGGCTATCTCATCACATATGACATCACCTCCTCTGCTGCTGCCTCTCCTCCTCAGGCACCTTGAAGAGGAACTTCCTCTTGCTGCGTGTCCTCAACATCAACTTCTTGCTCTTGTCTGAGGTCTCTGGGATGGTCAAGTCAGAAACCTCTGTGGGGGAGGACAGGAGACTTCAGTAGAACAGACCTGTCACTGACACAAACATCTGGTCATACTGACAGTCCATTCTCCAATTCTGCTGGTAAGTTACTGTATTGTTATTTCACACACCTGAAACAAAACTGTGTTTCTACAGAGCACCGTACAGCTAGAACATAATAATGCAGAATACAATTAGAAAAATTTTAACTAAATTAAAATTAAAGTAGAATAAAACCAGTACACAACAACAGTGCATATAATACAAGTAAACATTGCACATAAACAGACTGCAAACAGCAGAAAAGGTATAGTGTAAAGGAGCATTTATAAGAGGGCGGGAGCTGAGAAGTGTGATAGTCTGATGAAAAAAAATCTGCTACAGATCCTGGTGAAGTGGACAGAATGGTTCGGAGCCTTTTCTCGAGATGGAAGGGGGGTGAACAGGCTCTCTGATGGGTGCAAGGGGTCACGTGTCATGGAGTTGGCTCTGTTGCTGTAGCGTTGGTTCTAGTAGAGACATGCCCTGTGTCAGCCTGGTTCAAAACTTCCACTATCATTTCCATCCCCAAGAAGCCCAGGATCTCAGGACTGAATGACTACAGACTTGTTGCCATGACCTCTACAGTAATGAAGTAATTTGTGTTTCAGATCTATCACCGACTCTCTCCTGGACCCAATGCAGATCTGCAGACAATGCTATTAACACAGCTCTTCAGTTAATCCTCCAGCACCTGGATTGTCCTGGATCTGATACCAGGATCCTGTTTGTGGACATCAGCTCTGCATTCAGTATGATCATCCCAGCTCTACTCTAGGACAAGCTCTCCCAGCTGGGTGTGTTGAGCTTCATCTGCAGGTGGATCACTGACTTCCTGTCTAACAGGAAGCAGCATGTAAAGCTGGGGAAGCACATCTCTGACCTCCTGATCATAAGCACCAGTTGCCTTCGAAGCTGCGTACTGCCTTCTTCTGTACACCAGCAACTGCACCTATAGCCATCATTCCTTCAAGCTACTGAAGTTTGGGGACGACACCACCCTCATTGGACTTATCTCTGGAGTCCATCTACAGGAGGGTGAATCATCATCTGCTGACCTGGTGCAGCTAGAACAATCTGCTCTGACAGTGGAGATGGTAGTGGATTATCCTGGCTCAACCCATCCCTGTCCACATGAGTCCCTGGTCAATAGTGGAGTCCTTCCGCTTCCTGGGCATCATCATCATCATCTCCCAGGATTTCAAGGTGGGGCTTCTCATCAAAAAAGCCCAACAGAGGATGTACGTCCTACGGCAGCTGAAGTTCAACCTGCCATCGAGTCCATCCTCACGTACTCCATCACCGTCTGGTATGCTGCTGTCACTGCCAAGGACAAGGGCTAACTGCAGCACATCATCTGCTTTACAGAGAAGGTGATTGACTAAAATCCACCATCCCTCCAGGATCTGTATGCCTCTGGGTGGGTGTTTCACAAAACATGTTGAAAACACTAATGTCCGGCAAAAGACTGAGGTCCATCAAGACCAGAACCACACACCACAAAAACAGTTTCTTTTTTTTTTTTTTTTTTCCCCTGTCGTGTCCGGCAGTTTAGCAAGCAGGTTGTTAGTCTGGGTGCTTTATTGTGCCAACACTTTTATTTTAACAAGTGGAGCTTCGGATTTAAGCTCCTCTTGTTACTTGAGGTATACTCTTTATTAATCAGTTATATGTCAATGCGCCACAAAGCCGGAGCTGACAGGGGGGGTTAGTGGGAAAAAATCGAGAGAGAAAGTGAGAAAGGAGAGAAAGGGGTGAGAGACAGTAAAATAAATAAATGCATAATAAAAATAAAATAAGGAGGAGGGTCAGAGAGAGAGAGAGACAGAGGGAAAGAGAAATAATACATAACAAACA